ACTCATACGGCTGGGCACAGTGGCTCACGCCTGTAATCGCAGCACTTTGGGAGGCCGAGGAGGGTGGATCATGAGGTCAGAGAGATCGAGACCATCCTGGGTAACACGGTGAAACCCCGTCTCTACTAAAAACACAAAAAATTAGCCAGGTGTGGTGGCAGGCGCCTGTAGTCCCAGCTACTCAGGAGGCTGAGGCAGAATGGTGTGAACCCAGGAGGCGGACCTCGCAGTGAGATCACGCCACTGCACTCCAGTGTGGCTGACAGAGCTAGACTCCATCTCAAAAAAAAAAAAAAAAAAAGCATACACCATGTGCTATTTTGTGCCTGGCTTTTACTTAGCATGTTTTCAAGGTACATCTATACTGTGGCATGTATCAGTACTTCATACTTTTTATTGCCAACCAGTATTCAATTGTACAGGCACATGACATTTTGTTTATCCACTCACCAGTTGATGGACATCTGGGTTGCTTCCTCTTTTTAAATAATAATGCTATGAAAATTTGTGTACAAGTCTTTACGTATCTTTCTCTCAGGTTTTATTTCTTGTAGGGGGTAGAATTTTGGAGTCATAGTTTGCTTGGGCTGCCCTAACAAAATAACACATACTAGGTAGCTTAAGCAGGCCAGGCATGGTGGCTCACGCCTATAATCCCAGCACTTGGAGAGGCCACGGCAGATGGATCACCTGAGATCAGGAGTTGAAGACCAGCCTGGCCAACATGGTGAAAACCTGTCTCTGCTTAAAAAAATAAAAAATAAAAAATAAAATAATTAAAAAAATAAGTTAGGCCAGGCGCAGTGGCTCACGCCTATAATCCCAGCACTTTGGGAGGCTGAGGTGGGCAGATCTTGAGGTCAGGAGTTTGAGACCAGCCTGGCCACTATGTTGAAACCCCATCTCTACCAAAATTACAAAACTTAGGCATGGTGGCATGCACCTGTAGTCCCAGCTACTCAGGAGGCTGAGGCAGAAGAATCGCTTGAACCCTGGAGGTGGAGGTTACAGTGAGCCGAGATTGCACCACGGCACTCCAGCCTGGGCAACAGAGCAAGACTCTGTCTCAAAAAAAAAAAAAAAAAATTAGCTGTTCATGATACTGAGTGCCTATAATCCCGGCTTCTTGGGAGGCTCAGGCAGGAGAATTGCTTGAACCCAGGAGGCAGAGGTTACAGTGAGCCAAGACTGCACCACTGTACTGCAGCCTGGGTGACAAGAGCAAAACTCCATGAGAGAAAACCACAGGTAGTATTTCTCACAGTTCTGAAGGCTGGAAGATGAAGGTGTTGGCAAGGCAGGTTTCATTCTGAGGCCTCTTCTCTTGGATTACAGGTGGCTGCCATCTCTTTTGTGCTCACATGGCCTTTTTGCAGTGCATGCCCGTGGGGTGGCCGGGAGAGCATACATGTGAGCTGAAGCATCTTTTAAGGATACTAATCTTATCAGATCAAAGCTCCAGCCTTATGAAGGTTTAACCTTAATGATTTCCTTAGAGGTCCATCTCCAGGTAACAGCCACACTGGCTTTAGGGCTTCCACATATGAATTTTGACAGGTAACATTCAGTTCATAACATATGTCAATCTGTTTTAACACTTCAAGGAACTGCCAAACAGTTCCAAACTGAATACATTTTACATTCCCTCCAGCAATATGTAAAGATTCCAGTTTCTTCACATACTAGCTAAGACTTGTTTTTGAGTATAGCTGTCCTAGTGTGTGTACGGTGGTACCCTGCAGTTTTGATTTGCATTTCTCTAATGACTAACGTCGAGCTTTTTTTCATGTGCTTATAGGCCATTTATGTAACTTTTGGTGAAATGTCTATTCCTATCTTTTGCCCCTATTTCAACTGGATTATTGACCTTCATATTGAGTTTTAAGAGTTAAATAGTCTGGTATCAGTCCTTTATCTAATATGATTAGGAAATATTTTCTCTCAGACTTGTCTTTTCACCTTCTTGATGGTGTCTTGAAGTGTAAAGGTTTTAAGTCGAATTTGCCTTTTTTTTCTTTTATTGCTTGTGCTTTGGTATCATATCTTTAAGAAATTATTGTTTGATCCAAGATCATGAAAACTGACTCCCATAGTATGTAATTTCACGGTCAGTTTTGATTGTATTTTCCTGCTTCTTGAATTTCTGATAATTTGTTTTTGAATGCCGTACATTCTGAATTTTACCTTTTTAGGTCCTGCATAATTTTGGATTTCTAAAATCATTCTTGAGCTTTGTTCTGGCATGTGGTTAGCATGTTTATAGTTTGATCTTTTCATGTCTTTTACCTTTGTTATGCAGGACCAGAGTAGCATTTAGTGTATAGTTAATTTTCCCCACTACTGAGGCAAGGCTCTTCTTGGTTCTTTTACAAATGCCCATGGATCATGAGGTTTTCCACTCTGGCTGTTGGGACCAGGACCAGGCACTGTTCCTGGCACAGTGAGTTCTGGGCACTTTCTTTTTGTTTGAGTGATTCGTTGCCTGTCTTCTGGTAGTTTCCTGACAAGCACATGCTGCTCAGTACACTGAACACTTGGTAGGGACTCCTCTGCAGCTTTTCAGAGTTTCTGTGCAGCACTCTCCTCTCTGGTCTTCTGCTCTGTAAATTCCAGGTACCTTGATTTCTTCAACGTTCAGGTTCCATCTCAATTCAGGGATGTCCATGGGCTCTAACCAGATGTTCCCTCCCTGACTGGAATCTGTTACGAAGCAGTGAGTCAGGCAATCAAAGGACTCATCTGTGTCTTGTTTCTCACATGTCATTGTCCTTAATTGCTCAATGTCCATTTTGAGAGGTAGTCTGATTTTTAGTTATTTCAAGTGGGAGGTTAAATCTAGTCTCTGTTACTCTATCTTACCTGGAAGCAAAAGTCCTTTCTTCCTTTAATCTTTTGTGCCTTTTATGCATCTACCCAATCCACACTTGTTTTTGATAAATGTTTTTTGGGATCAGGCACAGTCACTGATTTGGAATGCAGAACAGTTCAACTTAGAGATCATACAAAAATATTTCATAAAAAAGGTAATTTGGGGCCAGGCAAAGTGGCTCATGCCTCTAATTCCAGCACTTTGGGAGGCCAAGGTGGATTTCTTCAGTGAGTGCAGGAGTTCAAGACTAGCCTGGGCAACAAGGGGAAACACTGTCTCTAAAAAAAAATTAGCTGGGCATGGGGGTGGATCTCCTGAGCTGGGGAGGTCAAGGTTGAACTGTGATTGTGTGAAACATAAAAAACAACTTTGGCATAGTAGTGAGGGACCTAAAACATACATTTAATCTTTGGCTTAAAATCTATATCCTATAGTCTCGGATGATTCCAAATATAGTCATTAGATACCTTAGTGACCTTAAGCCCTAAGATCAGTTACAAGTCATAACATTGGACTTTAAGAATGAGGTTGGGGGCCGGGCGCGGTGGCTCAAGCCTGTAATCCCAGTACTTTGGGAGGCCGAGACGGGCGGATCACGAGGTCAGGAGATCGAGACCATCCTGGCGAACACCGTGAAACCCCGTCTCTCTCCCATCAAAAAGAAACAGCCGCGGGAAGGGGCGGGCGCCTGTAGTCCCAGCTTACTCGGGAGGCTGGCAGGGGAGAATGCGAAACCCGGCAGGCGGAGCTTGCAGTGAGCTGAGATCCGGCCACTGCACTCCAGGCCCGTGTGACAGAGGCGAGACTCCGTCTCAAAAAAAAAAGAAAAGAGGAAAAAAAGAATGAGTGGGTCCTATGTATTGGGCACACCCTTTCTCTCTGGGCCGCGTAGCTTTACACTGGGAAGGTGGGGCTGGATGGATGGTCTCTATGTCCATTGATATTAGTGATCTTAAAAATGCAGTGTTCAAGCTCCACATCATTTAAGTGTATTATCATCAAAAACCAGAATTCGAGCACTAGAACCACGAAGTTGCCATACACAGTAGTTTCAGATCATTTATTCCTTTCCTAGCGTACAGATACGCGTACGAGAGCGAAAATATTTGTTATTTCCACATAGTAAAGGCTTTTTTCATTTTAAGAACATCTTAGTTGACACGAGCGCATGCTCTTTGTAAATTTTAAGTTCTGACACATGTTGATTATTTCAGTATTTTGCTTTTCTTTTTTTTTTTTTTTTGAGACGGAGGTCTTCGCGCTGTGTCACCACAGGCTGAGGCAGTGGTCGCGATCTCGGCTCCTGCAAGCCTCCGCCTCCCAGGTTCATGCATTTCTCCTGCCTCACCTCCGAGTAGCTGGGACTACAGGCGCCCGCCACCACACGCCCGACTATTTTTTTTTTGTGTATTTTAGTAGAGACGGGGTTTTCACCATGTTAGCCCCGGATGGTTCCGATTCCTGACCTCAGTGATCCACGCGCCTCAGGCCTCCCAAAAGTGCTGGGGATTACCAAGGCTTGGACCACCCCGTGCCCAGCCAGTATCTTCTGCGCTCTCTCTGAAAGTTGATTTAACCTGTCGCAACTTTGTGCATAAAGCATGTCAATAAGATGCTCATAAAAGAGAAAAACCTTAATAAAAAGCCATTTAATTTTCCCATGACTATCTCTTTGATGATCCTCTGCCAATACCTTTAAGGCACAACCCACTGAGCATCTACTATTTGCAGAGCACACAGGCTTTGCAAACCTGGCTGATGAACAGAAATCAGCTGTAGAACTTAACACAAAAATCAAATTATTTGGTCCTGTCTTTTAGGGATTCAGTAGGTCTGGAATGAGATACAGAAACCTGTGTGGTTTTTATTTTTTAAAGTTTTGCATATGATTGTAATGATCAGCCAGGCTTATATATAGAGCAGAGTGACTGCTCTATATTCTCCACTGATAGTCTGGCGTTATAAAAAATTGAAGGATGGTAATTAAATTATTCAGTGTATCCCAAGAATATCTTTTCCCTTTGAAGAAGAGTGGCCTCCCTATTCCTTGCAATTCCAAGAATTAAAAGTGTAGGTACAAATTGGCTCCCTTTGCCTTGTTTCCTATAAACCTGTTTTGTTTGTCCCACAGAGGAAGAAGATGACTATCTCTTTGATGATCCTCTGCCAATACCTTTAAGGCACAAACTTCCATACCAGGAAACTCTTCAACCTGAGGTATTTTCAATGACTGCAGTATCAGAAAAGCAGCCTGAAAAACTGAGACAAACTCCAGGATGCTGCAGAACAGAGAGTACGCAGAGCTCTCGTTTCACAAACTTTGTAGATTGTGAAGAATCCAACAGTGAAAGTGAAGAAGAATTAGGAATCCCAGCTTCACTGCAAGGAGATCTGGGCTCTGTACTTTACCAGCAAAAGGCTGATGGGGATGTACCCCAGTGGGAAGTATTCTTTAAAAGAAATGATGAAATCACAGATGAGAACTTGGAAAACTTCCCTTCCTCCATAGAGGCAGGGGGATCTCAGTCACCGAAGCTTTTCAGTGACTCTGATGGAGAATCAACTCACATCTCCTCCCAGAATTCTTCCCAGTCAACACACATAACAGAACAAGGAAGTCAAGGCTGGGACAGCCAATCTGATACTGTTTTGTTATCCTCCCAAGAGAAAAACAGTGGGGATATTACTTCCTTGGGCAAAGGTGACTACAGACCAACAATCAAAGAGAATATTCCTGCCTCTCTAATGGAACAAAATGTAATTTGCCCAAAGGATACTTGTCCTGATTTGAAAAGCAGAGTTCAAGATGTAACAACAGTTCCTAGTACTGGAGAACCAATTACTCTAAGCAGTGAGAAACATATACCTGAGGAAAAAAGTTTGCTAAATCTTAGCACAAATGTGGATTCCCAGAGCTCTTCTGATTTTGAAGTTCCCTCAACTCCAGAAGCTGAGTTACCTAAACGAGAGGATTTACAATATTTATATGAGAAGCTGGCAACTGGTGAGAGTATAGCAGTCAAAAAAAGAAAATGCTCACTCTTAGATATCTAAGAATTCAAAGCGCTTCAACCTAGAGCAACCACTAAAAAACCTGCAGAGAGATGATAGTCAATATTACAATAGAGAAAATATAATACTTAAAAATGTTCAAATAATCTGGTTTGGCGTGGTGGCTCACACCTGTAATCCCAGCACTCTGAGGTGGGCAATCGCTTGAGCTCAGGAGTTCGAGACCAGCCTGGCCAACAGTGAGATGTGTCTCTACTTACAAAAAAAAAAAAAAAAAAAAAGGTAGAACTAAACCAAAAAAACTCAATGATTATACTAAATGTAAATGGTCTAAGCAAAAAAAAGACAAGAGACATGGGGGAAAAAACCAACATAACCCAAAAAAATGCTGTCTATAAAGAAACTCAATTCAAGTGATGGCAAAAAAACCATGTACACGATTAAAGATGGAGTGGTTATACAGACAGTTTCCTAATGATAAAAGGTCTAGTTCACCAAGAAGACAAAATAATCCTAAATGTATATGCACCTAACAGCTCCAAAAATTTATGAAGCTAAAACAGCTGAAAAGAGACAAACTAATGCACAATTACAGTTAGGGATTAACATCCCTCCTTAGAACTAGTATATATACATTAATCAGTAAGAATATAGAACTGAAAATCATAAGCTGACTGGATTAAATTGACATTTATAGAACACTCCACCCCAAAACAGCAGAATATATCTCCTGAAGTACACATGGAACATTCAGCATGATAGATCATATCTTTGATCATAAACATGCTTGATTTAAATTGACAAACTTGGATCTATTACGATAAACTGATGGCTGTAGACAAAATCAGCACCTATTTATCCCCAAAGATATTAAACCACTTAACCTTGATGTGACTATGGTGGCAAAATTAGAAGTGGACAATTAGGATGTAAAAGAAAATGCTCAAGAATTAAATGGCAGCCAGGCACAGTAACTCATACCTGCAATCCCAGTACTTCGGGAGGCTCAGGGCAATCGCTTGAGCTCAGGGTTTTGAGTCCAGCCTGGGCAACACAGGGAGACCCTGTCTCTACAAAATGTTAGCCAGGCATGGTGGCAAGCACCTGTAGTCCTAGCCATTTGAAAGGCTTAGGTGGCAGCATAGATTGAGCCCAGGAGGTTGAAACTGCAGTGAGCTGATTGTGCCCAGCCCGGGCAACCCCAGAAAAATAAATAAAAAAACCTCTGTGTTATTCATTCTCAAAATCCATCAATGTGTTAGGCCTTTATGTTATGTATGAGGATTTTTTAACAAGTTTTAACAAATATTCATGAACACTTTGTTATTCTGACATTTCACAGATTATGGAAGCAAAAGCAGACATCACTTAAAACAATTTGCAGGCCAGTTAAACACTTGATATGCACTATCATGATGCTGCATGGCAATCAGACCAAAAAGTATTGGATCCACCAGACTAATTAGGGTAACAAGACTCAGAGTATCGATGTAACCATACACATTTGTATATATTCGCTGATAACTAAAACAGTTTTAACAGTGTACCTTGTGATCCAAAGTGGGTGTTCAAAAAATGCCTATAAACATTCCTCTGAGTATATTCCTGGTATTTTATAATCACATTAATATTACATACTGTTACATTTGTTTTATGTGAGAGTCTGCCATTATAAATGCTGGCTGAATGAATTGGGCTAAGGGCTAAGACAACTACAAGACACGTGATCAAGAAACAGAGTGATTACCAGAAATTGTATTTGGTGCGCACTCTGATCATGCTCGTAAGTTTTTTACAGACTATATATGAACTCCTTTAATTTTCACAACCTCCCTTTGAGGTAGATACATTTCTAATCCCCATGTACAAATGAGGAGACAAAGGCACAGAGGTAAGGTCACATAGCTATGAGGCACAGGCAGAATTCAAACACAGGCAGTTTGGCTTCAGAGACCATGCTCTTAACTGCTATGTTCTGATGTCTCTCCAAAAGAGTATAAACATGGGCAGGGTTAATTGTAGCAGCTACTTGGTTTTTACTTCAAGAATCATAAATTACAAGAGGAAACATGAAGTTTTTATTTTTTGAGATGGAGTCTCGCTCTGTCACTCAGGCTGAAGTGCAGTGGCCCTATCAGCTCACTGCAACCTCCACCTCCCACGTTCAAGTGATTTTCCTGCCTCAGCCTCCCAAGTAGCGGGGATTACAGATGCGTGCCACCACACCTGGCTAATTTTTGTATTTTCAGTAGAGACAGGGTTTTACCATATTGGTCAGATTGGTCTTGAACTCCTGACCTCTGGTGATCCACCCGCCTCGGCCTCCCGAAGTGCTGGGATTACAGGCATGAGCTACGGTGTCCAGCTGAAACATGAAGTTTCAAAATGCCAAGATATATCACAGAAGACACTCAGCAGTCAGCCACATTTATCTTGGAGAGGAGTTCCAGGACTTAAATGTTTAAAGAGTATAAACTAATTTTTTTAAAAGACTGCCTGAAGCTGAAGAGTAAATACTTTAAAAAGTTCACTGGGTGATCTTGGCATGTTGACATTATCTTACCAGTCTAAGTTTGTTACCTTACACCAACCTGACAGGTTCATTAGAAGCACATGAATACATATAAAAGGCATAAAAGACTTGGTTAACGAATATCAGCTCTGAGTTCCAAAATTCCTTTGCATTTCCAGGCAGTACTTACCGTAGTATGTTTACGCACCTGGGAGTGATAATGCTCAAAAACTTCTGAAGTATTCATCCACATTATGCTAGCGAAATGTCAAATTGTCCTTTAATATTCAAATGCATGAACCATAACTCCTAGGCCTTTTGGCCAAGATCAAGTATAGTATCAAATCCTGATAAGCTATCTTAAAAGGAAAGTAACATTTCAAGGAATTGAATATAAATCTTTGGTTAATCTTGTTAGCACATAGTGAGGAATACATCAGTATTTTTCTGCCCCTTTTATAGTCTTACTGGAAATGACTAAAACAGAAACAAAGCTAAGCCATGGTAAATAGAACATTAAATGCCCAACCTAATTTATTTTGCTAAGAGAAATTGATGAACTAAAAGAGAAACAAGTATTGTCTACATTTTAGATATGGGGGAAAAAACCCTGAGATTATTAATTATGTATCACAATACTCTTATGTAGATCCTGAAAATGATGGTATCAATATAATATGTACAGTGGATTTATGTTTTAAACTGGATTACCTTTGATAGTTGTCTTACACTGAAAAATTCTGACGTCTTCAGGAAACCAATGATGAATAGCTAAATGTTGAATTAAAATAGTTAAACCCCTTAATAACATCCTTTAGTTTCTATTATTTCACTGCTTAAGTTCAGCATCTGAATAAAAAAGGTAACGTAAGTAGTACTTAAGATCCCAAAGGCCCATTACATTCTATTAATAAAGACAAAACAAAACTACATGTTTACTGAAAATAGTCTTTTTTTCTTTGCTTTCCAGTTTTACACTTTTGTTAAACACAAAAAAGTGGACAAGATCAAATAACTAGATGGTAAAACACTGATTTTTTAAAAATCACATCTTTAAACCCGTGAGAATCACAATTCAAAGTATGGCCACTGGGGGCAACCTGTAAACCTGTGACCCTTTCTTAACACTGACACTAACACTATGTGACTGATTTTTCATAAAACACAAATGCCAAAAAAAAAAAAAAAAATTTTTTTTTTTTTTTTTTTAAAAACCAAAAAAACAAAAAAAATTTTTTTTTTTTTTTTTTTTTTGAGACGGAGTCTCACTGTGTCACCCAGGCTGGAGTGCAGTGGTGTGATCTTGGCTCACTGCAACCTCTGCCTCCTGGGTTCAAGTGATTCTCCTGCCTCAGCCTCCTGAGTAGTTGGGACTACAGGCGTGTGTCACCACGCCCGGCTAATTTTTGTATTTTCAGTAGAGACAGGGTTTCACCACGATGGCCAGGCTGGTCTTGAACTCCTGACCTCAGGCGATCCTCCTACCTCAGCTTCCCAAAGTGCTGGGATCACAGGTGTGAGCCACCACGCACGCCTGGCCCCCCATTCTGCAATTTTGGTTAACAGATTCTGAGGGTCCAAACATGTAAACAATTTATCCTATATATTATGAAAGAGTGAAGTTGTCATAGCAATATAATGAATAAAGTCTAGCTTCTCCCAAGAAAGAGCTAAAGATTAAGAAGTGCTGCATTCTTGAAGTTGGTTCAATTTTACCCAAGCTTATTTTAGGTAATTAAAGCCTGGAGCAATGAGCTTAGGTAAAATTAGGAATACTGAAAGCTAGATTTGCTGCATTTATCATTTTCGACAACATGATGAGAAATCTCAGAATCAGACATGAAAGCAATTTTTCCTGATTGAGATTCGATACTATGCTGGAACCCTCCCACCCCCTTACAAACTAATATATTCTATTTTAGTCTTTGTAGGTTGACTAATAAAAAGGTCTAATAATTCAGGCACACACTTTGGCCAAGTTTAGCTTTATCACATCTAAAAAAAATTCATGTATAAAACAAATATCAGTTCAAAAATATAGATTACTTTTTAAGAAGAACCTGCTGGAAATATAAAAATAATTAAATCTGGTGGAAAGGAACTGTTACACCTGCCTGAAATTGAGAGGCTGTAATGTTAATGTACATTACAGTATCATTAGGTACAGGTGCTCTCCAGGCAGCTTGTTTTACTGTTTAGACTGTTTAGACCGGAGGTACTCGACACAAATTTCCAATTCATGTTACTAAGAGGCGCCCTTAAAGTGCTCCATTCCCCTTGCTTGGTACTCCAAAAAACCGTCCTGGTCCCATTATCCTGTCCTTTCAAAGAAGCATAATGGCCAGCCATTCTGGACTTCTAGAGAGAGCTCTTCAGAGATTTTTCTTCTAGAAGATTAAGAAGTCTTTTAAGAATTACAGGTTCAGACATACACTCATCACAACAGTCTTGATTGCTTCAAAATATGAAATGAAGCTGAAATTAATTTTTACATTTAATTTTATACCTTAAATTTCTATATCATTGAGATGCCAATGTTTTAATGAAAAAGTAGAAAACAGTATAAAATTCAGTAACACCTATTTGTCTCAAATACAAGTACAGTGAATATTAAACAGGAATGACAACAGAGTAGCAAAAACAGAACTGGTAGATTTGCCCAAATTAACTGTTTCTCCAAATTTGAGGTTTATGGCAAGCTGAATGTTTGATCACTCAGCAATTGTTAATTACATTATCAGCTTAACACTTTCAAACACTACGGGAGGCATTTCTCTGTTCACATAGACTTAAGTACACATATACTAAGCTGTATATAGTCTGCCTTCCATTAGTTTGGTCTCTAAGCACTATAGATATGTAGACTTCAAATCAATCTATGAGACCCAGTGACCCTCTCTTCAGAGGCATTTGGCAAATGTCTTGAAACATGAATTGTAAATTAACATAGGTACAATCTTGATAATAAGAGTCCCAAATATGTATTTTTAAAAATGTTAACATTGGGGAAAAAATTATAATCATCAGCTCTATTTCCTGAAAAAGTTCAGTTGAGGTAACCTCTGCAAGTCACAGCTCCACATTTACATACTGTTCTGACCCTCTTTTTGGCTGGGCTGTGGTCAATAGAATCTGAAGATATATCTGCAGAACCTGAAGACACAGAAAAAGAAATACAGAAAGAGAGTTAAGACAATTTAGAATAAATTTCAAATTTTCTATTATATTAGCTTTATTGTCAGTGTTAGAGGGTACTTACATGGTCAAGACCCTTAGAGTAAGTTAACTCCCAAGGAAATGTAGTTAGTTCCCTTTGAAATATTTACAAATAAATGTTAATATTCAGATTCAAATCATAATGAATTGTCTTGAAAGGATGGTGCGGGTTAATAATAGGTAAAGTTTATGTTATTAGCCCATATTTGTGAGAAAGGATTTCTGAAATGATGAAACTTACTGGGAATATCTAATACACACTCATTTCACACAGTATATAAAAGCACAGTATGTAAGAGGTTAAGCAATGACAATATGTAAAGGCCGTCATTCTTAAAGAAAACATTTATATTGTCACAATAAAGCAAATAGAATTAAATGTTCTTTTTAAAAGCCAGGTTTAAGTAGGAGTAGAATAAATCTGTATGTGATTTAAATCATATTTTCTATCTTTTGAATATACATCTCTTAGTAAAAATTCAAAACTGTAGGCTTATATTTTTTTTTTCCAGACAGAGTCTCTGTCGTCCAGGCTGGAGTGCAGTGGTGCTATTCACGTCTCAACTGTAGCTTCAACCTCCCTGTCTTAAGCCATCCTCCCACCTCAGCCTCCTGAGTAGCTGGGACTACAGGCACATGCTACCACACCCGGCTAGTTTTTTCATATTTTGTAGAGACAGGGTTTCGCCATGTTACCCAGGCTGGTCTTGAATTCCTGGGCTCAAGCCTAACGCGGTGGGATTATAGGCAGGAGCCACCATGCTTAGCCCACAGTTAAAAAAAAAAAAAAATACAAGTAGTACAGTATTAAGAAAAGATTCTATAATAAATAAAATAGTTTCCAAAATGGAAGTTCTGAGAAAACACGACGTAGAACCATTCCTCAGCTGAAGGTCAGGCAGACCTGGGTTGTAGTACTAGCTGTCGGATTAGCTTTGGACCTTAGGATGACCAATTTAGTGCTTCAACTTTTCATCTTTAGTATTAGTTTGGTTCAGATATCTAAGGTCTCTTCCTAGTCGGATTTGATTCTTCATATTGAAACTGACAACAAATAAACTGTACTTGAAAAGCATACCTTTCATTTGATAATCAAAAGTCAGCTCTTCTCCAGCATTTATCGTTCTCGTGGAAAACAATGCTATTCGGGGAAGACGAGTATCGAGGTTATCAATGAAAACATTGAACACCTGAAGATTTGGGTCACACTAAAAAGGAATATTAGAACCCATTTAAGTAAAAACGGTGTGAACAAGCCCTTCTACATGCCATATAAAATGTTTACTTTCCAAGAGATTTAAGTTCCACTGGAAATTAAGTTGCTTATTGCTTAGAGGTCTTTGAGGCATGCACATTTAAAAAGATTGTTTTCCCTTATAAAAATTTCAGACAAGTATAAAATAGAGAAAATAAGAAATCCCTATGTATCCACTATGCAGCTTCAACAATTAGTAACATGCTTGTCAATCTTAGTCATCTAGTCCCAAGTTTCTTTTTTTCCTGGAGAATTTCAATGCAAATCCCATATTACATTATTATTTCACCTGTAACTATTTCAGTAAGGCATATACTTTAAAGAACTAGAATAACTGTGTTTAAAAAATCAAATCTGCACTACAGAAATCAAATGTTACACTGTATGGAGTTTCACTGCTTAAACTTTTGATCCAAACTCTTCAAGGTTTTGAGAATACGACAGTAACTTATGGAATATGCAAGAAAAAAGATGTAGTGAGTCATACTAAGGAATCAAAACTGTGTAATGGTCTTTGGATAGAATATCTCTATTTTGAGACTATCTCGAATTTATCATTAAGAAAAAAATTCTTCAATGTTAATCAACAAACAAGGGACCAGAAGGTGTCTGCTAATCATACACTAATTTCTTACTATGAAATCCATCAAAAGTTTAACATGGTCTACCTTCCTTTATATGTTCAGCTATATAACTTTGTGAGACACTCTATCCTTATTATCTACAAATGAAGATAATGTCAACCTAACAAGCCTAATGTTATCCACTTAGTACTTAGTAGGTAACCCAAAATTATTAACTTCCCTAATTTTTGGAAATAGTTTTTATAGAGTCCAGAATTTTGCAGTTAAGTTCCAGCTATATTCTAAGTGTTTTCAGACATTAAAAGGCAAGGAAAAATACTAATTTATAATTTAGAAAAATAGCCCTACATAAATACTCTACAAATCTTTAAATTTTATAAAAAGTTGTAACATGTTTACATTTTAAGAAAATACATTTACCTTAGTTTGTACATCCTAAAATTTAGTCGTGTTAACTTCCATTAAGACACAGTTCTGTGTAATTCTTGGACACTTTACCTCTTAATTGCTCTGGTCATTGTAATATGAAAATACCTACCGTACAAAGTTACTAGAAAGTTTAAATGAAGTAACATATGTAAAGACTCTTGCAAAATACATGCTATTAATACTCGGTAGGCACCTCAATGTTTACTTTTCCTAGTACAGCAATAAAACCATAACTTAACAGAAGCTGCCCTCATTATAAAATACGTATTTTGGAAATGTTAAAAGGATATGTAGTTTAAAGAGAATTATTTTTTAGCTATGGAAACTAGTACTAGGTTGAATTGTTAGTCGCGTCTAAAGTTTACGTATGTCTTCTTACGCTGTGATTCACAAAATGAGACACATTGCCGTATCGAGCCGCATCCACTGTGAATTCATCAGATTCATAGTCCAGATCAAAGAGATACGTGATTCCCTTGTTGTCATAGAACTGTCCCCGTCTTTCAGCTTCTTCACTTGTGATTACCTAAACAGAAAAAACTACAGTATATTAACGTAGCTACTGAACTAAAGAAGCATTCATCTACATGTCTATTAATATGCAAATACCTACAAATATTTAAAAAGTAAGAAATTCGAGTGTCATCAAAGCAAACATTCACACTAGGAGTCAGATGGAAAGAGGTGGGAAAATGAGGGGAAGAAAAATGATAATGCAAAAGATTGATGACTTTTTTTTCTTTACACAGGGTCTCACTCTGTCACTCAGGCTAGAATGCAGTGGTGCCATCATGACTCCCTGCATCCTTGAACTCCTGGGATCAAGTGATCTTCCTGCCTCAGCCTCCTGAATAGCTGGATCACAGGTACATACCACCATGCCCAACTAATGATTTAGTTTTTGTAGAGATGTGGGGTCTCACTCTGTTGCCCACACTGGTCTGGAACTCCTGGGCTCAAGTGAGCCTCCAGCCTTGACCTCCCAAAGTGCTGGGATTAACTGTACCCAGTTGATTTATGACTTTTTAAACAGGATTTGAGCAGTAAGTTGAAACACTGCATTACTTTCATTATAATTAGGATGTTCAAAAAGCTATACAACCATAGCTCTCTACAGGACAAAACTGAAAGTTAAAGACTAAATCTGCAAGTATATGCTCTAAATTATGATCCAGACACATTTTTCCTGTAACTTATCTATATGCAGTTACAAATGGAAAATTGTTAAAAATACAGGGGAGAAGCTATGTTAACTTTGGAATGGAAGGTTTCGTTTTTGTAGAATACGTTATTTTCATGCAATTCTGTAAGTCTAAGATTGTCATCCACAGTTCAGCTCTTAAGAACACAGTTTTATGACACACTCAGCTTAAGAAACTGAAAGTGTCTAAAGTGCTTTATGTTACCAACCAAATTTGGCTGCTGCACTCATTAAGAATGCAACTTAAAAACTTCTGGTTAACAAAAAGAATAATTTGATTATGTAAGATCTTGTATACTGAGTAATTTATAATAACCTACCACTGTCTAAAAGTGTAAGAATCAAAACAGACACCTAATTTAGTTTCAGAATTCTAGATGAACACAGATAATTATAGGTGACCCAATTCCAACTAAAAAATCCAGAGTTGACAACTCCGGATATGTAGCCATGCTCCTGTCTTGCTAGTCACAGCTCAACCTACCCTTCAGTTTGAAGCAGTGTGGTGTCATGGTGAAGACGACTGATTTTGGAGCTCTGAATGTTGGTTCTTATTACTATGTGACCTCGGGCAAGGTGTTCAATTTCTCTATAATAATGGACATAACAGTACTACCTCTCAAAAAAAAAAAAAGAAAAAACAAAAAAGAAATAGTACTACCTCACTGAGTTTTGGAGAGGATTAGTGAATTAATACATCAAATGCTTAGAATAGTATGTGACACATGGCAAATACTTTTTACATTCATATATATATATATACACATAGATATATGATTTGTATAAAAATAAATTTGCTAGTATTTGTATGGTAGTTTTGAGAATGGTCTTCACAATTCAAAAGTAAGTTACAGATGCACAGAGCCTAATTTTCTTACGGATGCAACAAATGCTTGTGTATATTTTACAATACTTACAAATATGGTATCTTTCATGTTGATCCAAAATAGAGTTCTGCCAACTACATTTAACCATATTTGGTCAAATAGATGAAGTAAATTAAAACTTTCAAGTTTCAAAGCAGCATGTGTTACATCTGAGTTTCTTCTTAGGACTTTTGGATAAAAACATTTGTCATATTTTAAATTTTACAAATGCTAGGTTTGACTACTAGGAATGTGTATTTGTTGAAAGATGACTATATCGATTTAACATATTGTTTTGTTCACATAAAAGTTTTTTATTTCTAAACATGCCAGTGAACTCTTCTCCTAAATCAGAAAATAAATTTCTACATATCTGCAAATGAAAATTTCAAAATGTACCAAGTATCTGTTACAGAGATAAAAAGGCAATTTTCCAAAAGTATAAACCTTACATGCCCATCATTTACTACGTGGCAAATTATACATACCTCTCCAACATATTCCATGACAAAACTCATTCTTTTAATCTTCACAAGGGTCTTCACACCCCAGCCACGTCCATTGCTAGTTCGAAAAATGCAAAGCGAATACTGTGTGCCTTTTTGTACAATCCTATTGGGACAATCAGGTCCACATTGACACCTTGAGTTGCATTCATAGATGGGAGTACCAGGTGGGATTTTAATTTGTTGGTTTTTATTATAAGCCAAAAGAACTCCAGCTTCAGCAGGACAACATTTTTGAAAGAAGCAATCTGTGCACGAACAACCAAAGGTAGCTTCATTGACTAAGCTGATTCCAGGAGCTGGTTTGTATTCGTTAATGTAATAGAAGTCTGAAGGTGGGCCCTCTAAATCAACAGTATTTTCAACAAATATCATTCCTTTATGATTCTTCCTTCTGTTGAGTTCATCTTGCCATCTCTGCAGAGCTATCCTTTGTTTAGCCTTCTTCACAATGTACTCAGCGATGGCAGGTTTCAAAGTTTTGTTATTGTTTTTTGGAGTTATTGCTTTGCCTTTCTTTACCTGAGATAAATAATTATGCTTGTCATTAGAGAATTGCTGAAGCAGTAACGGGCACTTCAGATTTTGCAAAGGTTCCCAAGTATTTGTAGAATCTGGCCATCCTTTCCATTTTACAAGATAATATTCCATATCCTTAAAATACAAAAGAAAATAAAATGCAAATCAGATGGCTATTTCCCAGTTTTACCGAAAATAATTAAAAATCTTCAAGAGTAAGGTATCCATTACCATTTTTATTACTAACAGTTCAGAACATGTAGTCACAGGTTCCTAACACATGAAGTATAAATCATACAAATAAAAATATTTTTCCTTATATTACATAAAATATGGAATTTAGATGTGGCATAACAAATTTGATAAGAGGCTATAGAGTTTTACCTGGAAAAAGACGAAGGTACTGAAACTTATGACTATGTTACTAAATGGTGATGTAGGTTAAACCCAGATGTATTTATTTTGATCATGGAAATAGATGGTCTCAAAGCTAACTCTTTATGACCTAGGTTAGTGGCTTACTTGGCCAGCAATAGATTCAGGCATTCTTAATGTCCATAACTTAATATCATACACCAGACACGAAGGAACTCATTTCTCAACATCATGGGCACACGTTCTCTAGATGTTCTAGAGATTAACTGTCCAATACAGTTATAACTAGCCACATGTAGCTACTGAAAACTTGAAATGTGGCCAATTCGAATTGAGATATGCTTAAAATATAATACACACTAAGGCTGGGCACGGTGGCTCATGCCTGTAATCCTAGCACTTTGGGAGGCCAAGGTGGATGGATCGCTTGAGCCCAGGAGTTCGAGACCAGCCTGGGCAACATGGGAAAACCCCATCTTTACTAAAAACACAAAAATTAGCTGGGTGGGGTGGTGCGTGCCTGTTATCCCAGTACTAGGAAGGCTGAGGCACGAGAATCGCTTGAACCTGCGAGGCAGAGGTTGTAGTGAGCTGAGACTGCACCACTGCACTCCAGCCTGGGCGACAGAGTGCAAGACTCCGTCTCAAACAAACAAAAAACAAAAAAAAAAAAAAAAAAAAAATTTTAAAGACTTAGTATTATAAAAAAAAAAAAAAAAAAAAAGAACATTAAGTATCTCAACTTAAAATCTTGATTACAGGTTTAAATAATATTTTGGATATATTGGATCAAATATATTCTTGAAAGCAATTTCAGCTGTTTCTTTTTACTTTGTAGAATGTGGTTAGTAGATGCTGAATAGCGTCTGCAGCTCGCATTACATTTCTATCGGACAGCTCTCTTCTAGAGAATGCTGATTTAGACTCACCCATGACTGGATGAGGTAGCAGGCACTTATGCCACCTAATAGCAACTATTCTAATTTATCCCTCACACTGTTGTTGGCCACAATGCCTTGGCAACAAGGCACCACGGTATCTTGTCTTTTCACTCCAGTGACTCTGTTTTCCTCCCTTAAGGTAAAGAAATGCCATGTTTAAGTTTCTTTTTAAAAAGGCAGTTAAGGCTTGACGCAGTGGCTCATGCCTGTAATACCAGCACTTTGGGAGGCCGAGGCGGGTGAATCACTTGAGGCCCGGAGTGCGAGATCAGCCTGGCCAACATGGCGAAACCCTCTCTACTAAAAATACAAAAAATTAGCCGGGTGTGGTGGCAGGCACCTGTAATCCCAGCTACTTGGGAGGCTGAGGCAGGAGAATCGCCTGAACCCAGGAGGAGGAGGTTGCAGTGAGCCAAGACTGTGAGTGAGCCACTGCGCTCCAGCCTGGGCAGAAGAGCGAGACTCCATGTTAAAAAAAAAGTAAAAAATAAAAGATAAAAATTTTTTTTGTGTGTCTAATAAATTTTGAAGTGGTCTCAGTAATTTTTTTCTTCTTCTGGAATAATATATAGCCACATGCCCAAGGGGTAACATTAGATCATAAAATGTCTTCTGAAATAAAAAGGGGATTAAACTGTATTGGACAGTTACATTATCATTTTAAGTCATAGATACTGAAAAATCTTGTTGAGATAACTGCTTTTCCCTGAGAATTTTAAGAAAGTTTTTATATAAAGTACAGATGTCCATGACAGTTGTTTTAACAGTTATAATGCATTAATGACTAAAGGTCTAAGCCATGTGATATCTGCCATGTTGCTGAGGCACAAATTGGGCTGAGGGACACCATGAGGCAGCTGTGCAGGAACCAGGCGCCCACCCAGGAGTGTGCTTATTTTATCCCCACTATCTGCATCTTAATGTTTTGTTTCATTATATTCTATTCAACAAGCAGTAATCCTTGTGAATTAAAAGAACTTTGCTTTCTTTTGAAAATTGGTCAAAAGTTTTTTTCTCTTAAAAAATGTGATTAAATAGTGTGCGGATATGCACAAAAACTGCATTCTGTGGAAATACATATTATGGTTCCAGGAAAAAAAAAAAGCTTTGATGTACATTTTAGTATTTGTCAAATTGAGCCCCATTAAGGCCTAAGGATTTCTTCCTCCTTTCAGGTGACCGCTACAATTCAGGACTGCTGTTGGCTGGTATCTGTTCACACTGTAGTAGATACGAGATCCAACTGGCAGCATCTAACTTTTCTACTCCCCTTAATTCTAAACATTTTAAATTTTTCAGATGCTAGAATAAAGCAATGCAACCCTAGTCCTCTTTTTCTTTTTTTGGCTACAGTTTTTCCTACCATAGCCCGGGTTATGCCAAATATTCCCAGTAAACAATGAAAGAAACAGAAATGGTGGCTTTAAGTCAATGGTTAAATCATCCAGGAACATTAAAAACACTGGCCACTGATGTTATTTCCAAAATAATTAATTGTATTTAATCTTACATGAATCACTTGCATTTTAAATGAACAAGTTTTATACGCTAATCACATTGGTACCTACTTGAATTTATGAACAGGAAATATGCTTATAAAACATGAATACTTATAGCAGACTAGTATAGAAATATTAGTAAGATTCTGTGTCAACTTGGTAGACTTATATTTTATAAGCATATTTTATTAAGATATTTCCACTTTGAAAAATAATTTTACACAGAAAACCACTTTAAGAAACAAATTCAATAAGCTAAAATGCCAAATAAAGGCCAAAACGTTCATAAGCTTATTATATCAGTATCTTATTCTGACATGTAATCAACTCTTGATTACCTATAGAAATGGAATCCCAGTGGCAAAAATGATCCATAAATCACTCCTATGTAATTTGGAATACATCATATGAATTTTTTCTTAATCACATTACCCAGCCGAGGCGGGTGAATCATGAGGTCAGGAGTTCAAGAACAGCCTGGCCAACATGGTGAAACCCCATTTCTAGTAAAAATACAAAAAATTAGCTGGGCATGGTGGCGGGCAGGTGCCTGTAATCCCAGCTACTTGGGAGGCTGAGGCAGGAGAATTGCTTGAACCTGGGAGGCGGAGGTTGCAGTAAGCCAAGATCACACCACTGCACTCCAGCCCAGCCCGAGTGACAGTACGAGATCCTGTATCCAAAAAAAATAAAAGACATCTCCCCCAACTATCTTTGATGTCAGTTAGCCATTCCAGTATTTTAGTATCTATAATAAGTATATGAAAGTTTGGTCACTAGGGGGTATGGGGAAATATATTACTAGCCTTTAGGAGTAAAATCTCATAGGGAAAAGGCAGCAATAACGTGAAATAAGTAGCAACGTAAGACATTATCACCAGAATATAGAGGGAAATCAATACAGCTCAGACAATAAGAAAAGGGAAGACAGAAAGCAGTACACACTACACTCTGAAGGAGTGAGAGCAGTGATTGAGTAGGGAACATGGCAGGGAAGATGAAAAACATGGGCAAAAGCTGAAAGCTAAGATTTGCATGAAGTACCAAAAAAATAGTGAAGAGATGGATCTGTCTAGCTTTAAGGTTCAGAATGTTGAAACAAGCTAAAACTTGTAATGGTAAGGCAAGAGCAAATTTTAGACAACCGTAACACTTACTTGGCTGAGACACTTGAACTTTACTGTAGGCCAGTGGTTCTTAAAGTTCTCAGAAACCATGGTGCCTCTGGGGGAGCTTCATGAAGTACATTTAACTCCATCTTGTTAGTTAGGAACAATTTTACAAATCTATTAATTGCCAAACCCATGGACTCTTCAACCCCCTCTTATTTGGCCTAAGGTAACAGCCACCACCTAACCATTTCTCAGACTTCCTTCTTGCTCCTCTGTATTTTCCTTGCTGAGACTGCTTCCCCTGCCCATCACTTACACAATGGAGACACTCAGGACCCTGTCTGGCACCCCTTTTCACATGAACATGTTTATCCCTTTGGAGAATCTGATGAAAGCAATGGACCTTTCTCTAACAAAAACCACATATAAAACATTTTGGGTAATTTCAGGATATTTAGATTCCAGGTTTAGAGAATTCCTACTATAAACGATCTCTTTGGACAACCTCATCACCCCATGGTTTTAACTATTAATTATATGCTGATGACTCTCCAAGTTTTATCTGTAGCCCAATATATCCAATAGCCTACCGGATGCTTCTTAAAGCAATCTAACCACACAGAGCTCACCACTGTCCTTCCACATCAGATTATTTCTGTATTCCTCACCATGGTGAATCTTACCTGTCCACCTACTCACACAAGCCAGAAACCAGGTTATCTCAATTCCTTCTTCTCCTCAATCCAATCATCACCAAGTTTCTTTAGAGATGGACTTCTTCCTGTCGATCTCTACTTCTATAGCGTTAGTCACACCAGGCCCTCAATTCTTGCCTGCATTCTTACATTAATCTTCCAACTGGTTTCCCTATTCCAGACTTACAGCTTCAAACACTCTATCCTTCTTTACTATAGTTTTTTTGTAAAAACAAAAAATCCACAGAAGCAGTTACTCTTGTTTTTTTTTTTGCTTAAAAACTGTTAATGGTTTCCACCCTGCCTAGGGAATGAAGTTCAAAGTTCCTCTTTTCAGAAAGCAAGTCACTGTGGAACTGTTTCCTGATGCCCCTCTGGCTCCATCTTTCATGATGGCCCCATTCACACAACACACACTAGCCACAATGAACAACATGCCAGGCCTTTTGATGCCTCTGCTGCTTTGTTCACAAACTTCTCCCTAATTAGGAGGGCCTTTCCCATTGGCATAATGAATGCTTGTCTCATCTTTTAAAACAGCGTAAATATCACCTCTTCTATGAAGTCTTTCCTGTCCCCATACCCAAGAACTGATCACCACCAACTCCTTTTTGTTCCAATTTCCAATTTAAACTCTAAGGTATTTGCGGGAAGGGATGGAATCTTATTCTTCATAGCCCCCAAATGAGCACAACTGCCCACCGTATTTTAGGCTGTGACTAAATGTTTCTGAATGTATAACAAAAAAATACGAATACCAAAGGGTATGCAATATACAAATCACAACACTAACTGTATGAATTCTTAAAGGAAATACAAGCTGATAAACTTGGAGGTAGCAATTCATGGTTTCTCAGTATTTGTCACCTGCTGTCTATAGCCAACAAGTGGCAGCAAACACCAAAACTTTAAAAGAAACATATGGGAAGACAAAGAACAAAAAAATGTGTCTTTCCACTAGCTAATTTTTTCTACCAATTTTGAAATAATCACCATATTCAATATCAGTGTTAAAATAACCTGAATCTGGTTGGGCACAGTGGCTCACTTCGGGAGGCTGAGGCAGGAGGATTGCTTGAGCCCAGGAGTTGGAGACCAGCCTGGACAATATAGTGAGACCTTGTCTCTAAAAATTAGCAGCATGTGGTGGCACATGCTTGTGGTGGCACATTGCCTGTGGTTTCAGCTGCTCAGGAGGCCAAGATGGGAGGATCGCTTGAGCCTGGGATGTCAAGGCTGCAGTGAGCCAAGAACAGCCGCTACTACTCTCCAGCTTGGGCAACAGAGTGAGACCTTGTTTCTAAATAAATAACTGGAATTTGATTATGAAAACACACGGTTCCACAGGAGCATAGTCTGAGAACTATTATAGTCACGAAAAATCACTGAATTTTCATGCCAGTAAGAGTAGGAATTGTGACAGCCGGGTTAGAGACACAGAATTGAAAAAAGTGAGCCACATGACATTGTTAAAGTATTTTCTTAGAGCTCTGTTTTCCTGATCTCTCAAATACAGGTTGTAGTATAATGATTTCTATGTTATTCTAGTTCTTAACCACCCTAGGTTCAATCAGTGTTTTAGGAATATCAATCTACTGTCAGATGTGGACTAGTATTATTTTGTGCCATGCCGCACAGGGGTGGTTCTCGAAACACAAAAGTACCTGTATACTTTAAGAAACCAAAGCTATAGGCAATATTTATTGCTTAGCTTACTAAGCTATGTGCATGTCCATCAATGTGTACAGAGGATCTTGTTCTTCACTGAACTATCTTACATACTCGTGGTTTTGTCAGAAATTATTCTGTGTGAAGGGGTGATGTAGTAACAATAATGCTGCAGAAAAATCGCCTTGCATTGAGACTAAGTACTACTACAATTAACACCCTTTAAATTCAACTTGACCCTTGACATGAATTTATAATAGTAACAACCTTTTGCCTCCCCCCACAGAATTCTTTCCATTTCTCAAGTTGGCTATTTCAGACCTCCTCCACTTTGTTCAAGGTTCCCATCCCTACATCCTGGGTTATTTTCAGTGATGTATGACCTGTGTTCCTAATGCAAAGAGAAAATGGAAACCACCAGGCATTAACTGCCTTAACTTCCAGCCTTCCATGGCCATGAAGCTAGAGAGAAGGTGGATGCAGACACGAAAAGAGAGACGCACTTCCTTGGTCAATTCTTCTTGTCTCTTCAGTATCTCTGCTGGTTCTCACAAGCATTTAAACAGGCTCCATTTTTAAAAAGCAAAATAAAACTAAACCTCCTCTGAGATATAAACGCTTGTATATGTGGGGAATTTCTAAAAGACATATTAAGTTGCTAAGAATGAGAGACTGAAACTAGGTCACGGCGTAGATGTCAGTATCTGACCTTTTATAACATTCACTTTTTAAAACTACATGCATAGTATTTCCTCAAAATTTAAAAAAAAATACTATCACAATGGTCTTTTCAAAAAAACTTGAAAAAAATTATAAACACCCTTATACTCATGTAGCCCTCTCGTTTTCTTGAAAGCTACGATTCATGGAAGAATTGTCCATCCTACTTAACTCTACTTTCTCACCTCCAGTTAATTTTTTTTTTTTTTTTTGAGATGGAGTTTCACTCTTGTAGCCAGGCTGGAGTGCAATGGCGCGATCTCAGCTCACTGCAACCTCCACCTCCCAGATTAAAGCGATTCTCCTGCCTCAGCCTCCCGAGTAGCTGGGACTACAGACATGCACCACGTCCGGCTAATTTTGTAATTTTAGTAGAGACAGGGTTTCTCCATGTTGGTCAGGCTGAATCAAACTCCAGACCTCAGGTGATCCACCTGCCTCAGCCTCCCAAAGTGCTGGGATTACAGGCGTAAGCCACCGCATCCGGTCTGGTTCATTCTTTAATTCATTCCTTTGGCTCTTCTCAGAGGTGCTCTAAGGGAATGAGTGACCCTCCATTACCAAATCCAGTGGATTCTTTCCAGTTCTTTGACCTACTGTTTAATACTCTCCTGCTGACATCATCTTTTCCTCTGGTTCCCATGATTTACTCTTTCCATTTTCTTTCTTTCCTTTTTTTTTTTTTTTTGAGACCGAGTCTTGCTCTGTCATCAGGTTGGAGTGCAGTGGCACGAACTCGGCTCACTGCAACCTCCACCTCCTGGGTTCAAGTGATTCTCATGCCTCAGCTTCCCGAGCAGCTGGGATTACAGGCAAGCACCACCACACCAAGCTAATTTTTATATTTTTAGTAGAGATGGGGTTTCACCATGTTGGCCAGGATGATCTCAATCTCCTGACCTCATGATCCGCCTGCCTTGGCCTCCCAAAGTGTTGGGATTACAGGCGTGAGCCACTGCGCCCGGCCAACTCTTCCTATTTTCTGACTACCTCTCTTGCCAGTGTGTCTCAGTCTCTGACAGTCCTTCCTACGAGTGTCCCCACCTAATTCTCAGAGCTCATCCTCAGTCCTTGTTCTCTGTTCATATTTGCTTTGCTTGGGCTACTGCAATCGCCTCTTGCCACCCTCAACCCATTCAGGGCACAACAGCCAGAGTCATGTTTTCAACACATACATCTCAGCACACCGCTCCCCTGCTTAAAACTACTAAATGGTACTCTAAGTCCTTAAGAGGAAGTCCAAAATCCTGTCCTCGGCCTATGAGGAGCAGCACTCTCTGGGGCCTGCCCATCCCGCCAGCCTCATCGCGCTCCCTCCTACTTGCTCTGTTCCACTGATATCCTCTATTCCTTGAAGGCCCTCTTTCTACTCCTTGAAGTCAGGCTGTCTTCTGCCTCGAAATCCCTCCCACGTATCCCTTTCTTCCTTTAGTACTAAGTTGAAACATCAGTTCCTCAGGGATACCTGCCCAGTCTCTCCAGGATAAGTGAGATCCTTCTGTCACATCAACACTTACCTCAACTACAATAAGTACTTTGTCCAACTGCATTTAAGGTATTTCTACCCTCACTGAAAAATAAACTCCAAAGTATCAGGGACCATACCCTCATATCACTCATTGCTCAGATTCCCAATTCCTAGTGCAGGACATGGTAGATGGCCAGTAAATATTAGCTGAGTTCATGAATAGAAAACTGCATCCACTCCCAAGGCTTCCCTCTCTATCTTTTTGCCAATTACTTTAGGATCTATGTTTCTAGTTAGATCTCACTATTGATTTGAGCCCCACTTCCAGTTGGTTTAAGTCCCACTTAAAATGTCCTCAAGAAAGTACATTTTGAAAGTACTCAAGAAAGTTGAGTACATTTTAAGTAGAACTTAAACCCACCAGAAATGGGTCCCCAAGCCCAATCTAGTTCCTACTCCTGTATTCCTGGGGAACAGTAACATTGTCTAAACCACTGCCCAAGTCAGAAACCTGTATTTTCCCTAGACCTGGCACCCTCACTGCCATACCCCCACCCAACCCTGTGACCACAAGCCACAGACATACATTTTACATCCTTATTTTTTAAAAAAGAACAGAAGAACCGCACACCTACTTTTCCTTAACATCATTAATACTTTAGTCCAAGCACCACTGTTTCTGGCCTGGTTACTATGACAGCCATTCAGAACATGCAGCCGTGCACGTGTTATCCCCCTCTCTATCAATCCCCTTTCTTTTTTGCAGAGAGAAAATTCTCTCAATTACAAACCTGATGTGTCACTCTCTTTAAAACCTGCCAACTAACTCCCCATTGCCTTAGGATGGCCGAAAAATCCTTCACTCACCTCTCATTCTTTCCCACGTCCATCTACTATCACCTCATTCTCCAGACAGAAGCCACAGACAATTACAAGGCTCACCTTTGGACAGGCTCCAATTGGACATCACTTCTGGGAAGCTTTCTGTGACCTATCCAAGGTGCACCTCCCACAGATCTTGTAATGATGTGTGCCACAGCACTTTTTATACATCTACACTGCAACGGGCTATTTGTCAAACTTTCTCACTAGGCTGTGAGTTCTTTATAGTGAGGGAGTTTCTTATTAATCTTTTGATTCCCAGTGCCTAACACAATGCCTGGCACACAGAAGAAACTCTAATAATTGTTGAGTAAGTCTACGAGAAAAACAAACAGGAGACACGAGTCAACAGAATGCTGCTATCATCTAAGCATGAAGCCAGGAAGGCCTAGTCTAATAGTGAATGTACGCCCTAGAAACACAACCGAAGCAAAAGACAATTCAATTCAATGACCACGGACTAAACACCCATTCTGTACCGGGACTACAATGAGACAGTCCTGGCCCTCAAATGGTGGATGATTTAGCAGGGAAGATCTGATACAAACAAGACCATAAAGTGTTACAAGTTCTAGAATAATGGCAAGAATGGTGCTTTGTAAATCCTGAACATAAATCAACTAATTTTGCTGGAGGTGAGAAACGGCAGGTGGTTCTACAATAGGTGGTGACCTTTGCACTGAACTGTGCAGGCTGTGTAGGATTTTGCGAAGCAGGGAAGAGAAATGGTAGTATTCTGAAGAGGGAATTAGATAAGGAAAGGGGACACAAAAGTGCACGATATGTTCAAGGCATTAGAATGCAAGCTGTGTCTGTTTTTGAGCTATGTTTCCAATGCTTAGAACAGTACCTAGCTCATAACAGGTGCTCAGTACATCTTAGCTAAATGAAATAATCTATAAATATTTCCATTTCAGAATATAGGATAGATGACAAGAGATGAGGCTGGAAAGGTGGCGGGTAGCCAGATGACAAAAAACCTTGGTCCTATGTTAACGTGTCTCAGATGAGACTGGTAAACAGGGAACCATGAAAAGGTCTAAAGCAAGGCTTGAATGCAATCAGAGCTAGGTTTAAGGTACAACTATAATGGCATGGTGGAATATGGTACTGAGACAGTGTCTTTCATGAGCTAAGTGGAGGTGGCCACACAAGAAAAGGACAAGGTCATAAGATCCTTCACCTACTCTGAATTTGCAAAAGAAAAAGAGAAAGAGAAGAAAAAAGGCAGAGGTATGCTGAACTAATGCTGGCTTAGAGATTCAATATCTATGCCAGGCAGAAGAAATGGGGGATGTATGTGGGGTACTGAGGACATAAGCGAGCAAAGGAAGGTCACTTATGCCG